TACATATCGAGCCCTAACCGCCAAAATAACGTCAGCAACATTTTTTTCAAAATTTTCTAATTGATGCAGAAATGCATCTAGATGCTCTAGGAATATTTCTGCATCAAAAAGAAAATTTTGAAAAAAAGTCTAGCTTACGTTATTTGGGCGGTTAGGGCTCGATATGTACAGTGAATCACAGCCAAAATTCAGCACAGCAAAACAATTTATATTATGTTATTATTCACATTTTTCATGTTAAATAATTTTTGTTATATTTTTTATAAAAACATAGTTTAAATTACAACCAAAACAGAAATTCGAAACTTTCTACAAAAATTAGAAAAATTCTAAAAAATGCCATTCATTTTCAAGAAAATTGTTCAGATTTACGAAAAAATTACGGGTATTCAGTTTTATAGCCCATTAAATTTTGGGATAATATTAGCAAATTGCTTTAGGCCAGCCATGCCAAGCGCAGGCAGAACACTTAAAAAAATGGAAAAGTTTTGCACTTACTTATGTAGTTCTGCCAGCGTTGCTTTTTAGGCCAAATTTTAATTTAAATACATATGTATCTGATGTTATAAGGAATAATCGCCTAAGTCGAAAAACCTGAATTCGTGAAAAGATGCTTTTAAAGATTTGGATTGCAATGTTGGCCTGGGATGGGAAAGCCAAAATATTCTCGTTTTTGGATTGAAAATTAATAGGATTTTGAAAATCACCTTGAAAATTATTATCGATATATATTTAGAATGAAATACATATATGCATCGCTTAGGTCTTTGTGGAAAATAAAAAAAAATCTTACCACAAAAAACTTTCAAAAAGTGCAAAAATTAGCATTTTAACCATTTAATCCTGACGTGTATTTTCACAGCCAGATTCGTTTGCAGTACAAAAAATAATTTTCAATAATCGCCTATAGCCATTCTTGAAATGGAAAAAGGTGAAATTTCGCCGGTCTATGGTATTATTCATTAACTAGTAAATTCTCTCTGACTAAAGAGGGCTGTCCCTTACAAAACAGGTCGAATGGTCGCGTTTAATGCTTGAAATACAATACCGGCGAACGGCAAACTTCGCCGAATTGGGCGATGCTGTCGTTCACCGTTCGCCCAACTATTTCGCCTACTTAAACAGAATTAGAGCGGTAGCGAAAACAGCTGATCCCATTTGGTCGCCTTTATAATTTGGGTGACCATATTTAGAAAAAACTAAACCATATTTAGAAATGAGGAAATGATAACAAATATAAATGTAAAACAAAGAAAGATTATTATAAATAATTTGTTTCAAGCCAGATTTAACGAATCCACAACTATATTTTTCAAACAACAAAAAAAAAATCGTGTTTAGGTTGTTTTCTTTTTAAACTTTGAAAGCACAAAACAAATACGGCCACCTTTGGCACGCACAGCTGTCATCGCCCAGCAGAGCGATAGAAATAAATCTATCGCCATGAAACGCCGCCAAGCGAAGTTCGCATTTCGCTTTGGCTGTGTTCAATTTCATATGCTTGCGGGTGTTCAAATTTTGACAGCGCGAATTTCGCTGTGGTGAGTTCGCCGTTCGCCGGCATTGTATTTCAGCTATAAAGTTTTCAATTTGCTCCCAAAATATTCTCTTACATTTGCTCAAAAATTTCGTTTTTCAATTATGACAGTCTTTTAGTAAATGAACGATATGTACGAGGAATACATTTATTGCCGATAAGTGATTGCATGGAAAACTTAGTGGCTCGGCATGCACGTATGTATATACAATATGTATGAAAATATGTGTATGTATGTAAGTACATATGTAAGTATAACACAATCTATGTATGTATGTATGTATGTACATACAAATGCTTTGGAAACCTTATGGCGATGACCAAACTACATACAATATATCTGTGTTCGTATGGAATAGTATAGCTTATGTCGAAAGGCTGGCTTTAGTATAATGCGGCATTCCCTTTATTCTTTAAACGACAAGGAATTTTTTGATGAGTCTTAACAAGAATGTTGTCTTGCTAGTATCGGAACTATTCTTGCACATTTATTTGCCAAAAATTCTTCAACGGCTCGGCGCCAGTGACTCATTCGCAATCGTATGCTGCGAATGCCGGATTATACTAAAGCCAGCCTGTCGACATAAGCTACTATGCCATACGAACACAGACTCATATGTAGGTATAAAACGTAAATAGCTGGCATCGAAGCATCAGTGATGCGGCAGTTGAGAGCGTTCGAAAACAATGTCAAGTTACAATTATCAAAGTAACACATCGGCAAGTTAGAGATAAAAACATTTCCACGAACATATGTATGTATATATGTGTGTATTTAAACGCTAGAAGTATATTTGTAAGTTTGTAAGTACATATGTACAGGGCCGCATTTACTTAAAAGGCCTCCCTGGGCCCTGAAAAACGCCGCCCTTTTATTTCGAACCTATGTACATAAAATATTAAAAATAAAATAAAGTGAAAAGTCAAGCTTTCGTTTAATGATACTTCAAAACAAATTAAAATTTACCAATTGGGAGAAAAAACACAAAAACATTCTTATCGCTAAATAAAACTCAAAATTGTTTTTTTTTTGTTATTTTTTGGCCTAATAAATCATACTAAAAAATTTTTATAGAGCTTGAAGCCGTTTTATATGAGAAATTATTGTGGAAAAAAACCACAACAGTTTATAAATGGTGGAAGTTATAGCTGCTATTTTGGCGATCTCCACATCTCCTCATCAGACTTCTTCATTGCGGTCACTGGGATTAGACCACTGGCTTTGTATACTGTTGTTGTATTTTCCATAGTGATTTTTCATATAAAACGGCCTCAAGCCACCAAAAGTAACAAAAAACCAAATACAAGGTGTTTGCATAAAATAAGTCTATGTGGCAAAGTTTTAGGCACAGTTGATAGTCAATCACTGAATTCGTTTGAATTATCATACAAAATATGTGTATAATTTAAATTTCGAAGGCAAAGTATTCGCTCTAGCTAAATCTACTTTCTACCATCAGTAATTAGAGTGAAACCTTTATATTTGAAAAAAAAAATGTAATAACTGGTAGCACACTTACATATGCCTAAATTCATAAAAAATAATAAAATATGTACACACGCACTTATGTAAATACAATACAAATTAAAATTAAAAATATAAATTTTGTTCTGACAAAATGTGTTTGAAGCAGGGCATGAAAATAAACCGTACAAAACAATTCCTAATTGCTCATCGACAATCATATGAGTTGTGGTTTTGTACATAGTCAGAAACGAAACGAATAAGTTTCACTGTCCCCAACGAGAAACGTTTACTTTTCGTTTGTGACAATTGTATCAACTTGGAATGAAGGCCATAAAATATCGCACGTTTAATAATATAAAGATGTAAAATAAAATTTACGTTTTTGGACATTTCATTATGCAATTAATAAACTTCATAGAAAGAATATGTTCAGTCTAATAGATAACCAAACCATCCAAATATGGCGAAGATATGTATCTTTCCATCTGTCTTTTTGTATACCAACTGTATGAATTGATAAAACTTTGATTGCGTTTTCCCACAAAATTGAAATTTTTAAACACTTCGTTATATTATTAAACGTGTGATATATCGCTAGCTTAGAGTGAAAAGTTACTAAGTCCATTTGAAACATTTTAAAAAAAATTTTTTCAAGTATTTCGCAAAACTTTCAATACATTTTGCCTGTTTAAAGAAAAGCAAAACTCCATACGAATCAGAGGGATTATAATTCTATTAAAAGATTTCGTACTATTTTGGCCTTATCGGATTCTCGAAGTTTATTTTGGACTTAGCAAATTTTCATTTCATTGAATATAAACGAGAATAAATACATATAACTATTTAGTACCTTTATCATTTTCGAAACAATGCATTTCAAATCTCTCTAGCCTCCGGTGTCAAAATGTGATTTTTCATAAAAAGTGGACTTAGCAACTTTTCCCTATAAGCTAGCGATTTATCTATTTATGTACTTATTTACATACATACAATGCTCGCATATCAATATCTTGCTAGAAAGAGATAGACGATGAGATAATACATACATGTAACCGAAATGACAGTTTTCATTTTCCAAATTCAGGAGTACATATTAGCACATTCTTGCAGCAAAAAATCAATCAGAGAAACACTTTTTAAATGTACAGGGAAAACATGGAGATGCGCTGCTGGATACTGAAAACACCTAACAAAATTACTACACCGGCTTCTTGCGTGAATAAATTTTATCTTGATAAGGAAAAACAAAAGCATTTTCCATTTTTCAGGCGTGTTTTTAAATTTTACAAATAAGTTCAATACATATTTATCTTTCTGCAGAGCAAAAGAAATTCTATTGTATTCCATATCGATAAATACCACATTGACGATGGCTGTGGGTGGAAGTACTAATGGGAATCACGTCATACACAAATGTGCTTACCTACGTACGTATTAACATACATATTATCTACATATGTATGTATATACACCCATATTTTTGTATTTATATACAGTACGCCCTCAGTACAGCACTCGATGAACGCAACACCCAAATGTTTATCATTAGTGGCTCCGTAATTTCAAACTTCTCCAAAAATAACATCGGTAAACACAATTTTTTTCAACACTCTTTTAAAGTATGTAATTTAACTCGTCTATTTGAGAAACTAAGGTACCTAGATACCTAAAAATTTAATACTTAAAATGGATTAATAGATTGAATTTAAATTTTACGCTACTTATCTATTTATATGTATGTATATAAACAACCACGTCTGATTTGCAGGTGCTTGCACAAAGTTATTTCGCATATCGCATAAGTTTCTCAAAAATTAATTTAACTAAAAAGTTATCATTTTTGATATACATACATACATAACATTTTTCTTGAGGACTGCAGACAGCCCCTATCACAACTGTGTTAATCAAAGTTTCAAACCAAAGTAATACCATGTTCTGACCGACAACGAAAACACTTTGAAAACGAGTTTTGGAATTGTGGGCTGAAGGCTGTTCACACCGGCTGTTAGTGTTTTCGTTGACATTTCTTACATCCTCTGATTGCAGTTTTGCTACACAGACACAAAAACGAAAATGCTTTTCCCACGCTACCTCCTACTTTCATTCTTAGTTTAGTTTGGCCAGCCAATTAACAATAAATACGAAATAGCGTATTAAAGATGAGAAAATACGACTTCCACTTCGATAAATAATCGAAAAAAACTAGTGAAGACACCGATTGGAATGAGTGGAACGTGAGTTTTCAAGTAGTTTTCAGCGAAAACTGGTTTTCGTTTGACAGATTTTACATGGACGAAAACACATGTTTTAGGTCGAAAACCAGTTTTAGCAACGAAAACATGTTTTCGATGTCGGTCAGAACATGGTATTAGAAAAAGATTTTAAAATTGTTAGAAATATTTTTATAAATATTTTGGGTATCCAGTTTACACCTATAAAGTTTTAGGGCGGTTTTCACGATATCTGGTTAACACTAATCACGGGTCAAACATCGTTATCGGTATTACCGACTCCGAGCATATAACATCGAGTCTGTAATGTCGATATTGATGTTTAACCGGAGATAAGTGTTAACCAGACATGGCGAAAAGTGAAAGTTTGAAGCGGCTAAAAATCCGCATTAATTTGTACTACATTTTTTGCAAGGAGTCTTTTACACTTTCTCAGAGTAAAAAGCTTGAAATTATTATTTGCTTAACGGACTTAAAAAAAAATAGGATGTTATGAAATCATCGCAATGTTATTTTTTATGTATGTTACTTTGGACGAAGTTAACCGATTTCTATAATTCTACTCATTTGGTTTAGATCCGTTCATTGGATAATAAAGAAATTAACGGTACTCTTAAATTTACATATTTAATTAATTAATTAATTAATTAATCCCAACGGCTTTTTACCCTCCATTCCCGCCCAACCGACACGAGGGGCGCAGTCCGCATGACGNATATATATATATGAGAATTGAAGTCGGTTTTGTTTTTTGTTTAAAAATTTCCTGTATAATATTTATACTAAGTTTAAAACAAGGAGCTTTTATGGTTTTCGTTCAAGAATAAACCATATTTTTATAAAAAATAAATAGTCAAAATTTGTTAACATGTGGATGTCGTATAGTTATGATAAGCACTATGGCGAATTTTTAGTAAATTACAATCAATGACTAATTCTACCATGAAAAAGATTTTGTTTAGTTATGTATTTACATACATGATGGGAAAAACGGTATGCATCCATACATACATACATACATATGCGTTTGTTAGTACATACACATGCACATTGTACATAGTATTTACATACGTACATATGTATGGGCAAATCCTAGCGTTGCGGACGTTACGTTCGGACGTTACGTTCGGACGCTTCTTTTGACTTTTTCGCCGAAAAAAATTATATGTTAAAATTTTTTGTAGTATACGGGAAGGTATACAGCAGTACTTATGAGAACAAAATAATGGAAATTTGGATATGAATTAATGTTTGTGTATTTTCCTTCGAAGTTTGTGTTCGGAGCTTACTGAAAAAGGAAGCGATTTTGATATGACCATAAAATTTAACCGCTTTGCGCAAATCGTAATATATGGAGAACAAAATCTAAAATAATACTTTGAAGAAAAAAGAATGAAGTTAACAATATGTATTATAAAACAAAACTAAAAGTTGGATTAACTTTAAAACAATTGTATATGTGCGTTCGGGACGTTACGTTACGGACGTTACTCTTTTTGCCGCTGAAAACATTGATTTTTTTAAAGCGATGTTGTTGTATTTTATTAAAAAATATACTGCTTAAAACCAAGGCTATTTGAGGCAAATAAGTGTGAAAAGAAAGAAGAAACAACAATATGTTGTAGTATGATATTTTCGACACAAAAACGCGAGAATTTGAATTGCATTTGTTTTTTTTTTTCAGATTTTGGTTGACTATTTCTCGGATTCGCCCATATTTACTATGTACATTTGTATCCACATACATACTTAAGTGCTGGAAGATGTTGCATAACTGCATGGTAGCCACAGCCACAGCCACAGCCACAAATAGTACATACTGCAGTTATGGGTTTTTTAGCCGTCCAGCCGTTAGCGCTTGGCGCCGTCATTGTGCTAAATTTCTGTGCAGAAATTGATTTTCTGGCAGCAGCGGCGAAGCACATGGCGACTCACATGGCGCACAAATGGGCAACATGCCCGCTTCCAACTGTTGACATATGGACACACATGCAACATACATACATACATTCATACATATGTACATAGGTACATCCATATTTACATACATATCTACATGCATTGAGAGGGGCCGGGCCAGCTGTGATTGCTACTAGTAGCGACTGCATTTGGTTGTGTTGGGGTCAGCGGCTTTTTGGCTGCGCTGACAGCGCTTCTCCGCCTGAAAACGACTCCGAGTATTCGAGCGCAGTGACACAAATTTACGACGATTCATTACGTCCGTAAGCATAATTTCTGCACATTAGACAAATAAAGCGAGGCGCCGCTTTGGTTTTAGCCGCTCAATCAAATGCTGAGTATGCACAAACAGATTTCTACATATGTATTTAGATGCAGTACATATTTACATATTTATGTACATAAATAGTAATGTACTTTACATACATTTGTATATACATATATACATATGTATCTCCATGCTTGTTAGTGTTTAAAATTTTTTAAGGCACACCATAAATGCGCTAACATGTTTGCGCCATTATTGGACATTTCCACTTATCAGCTAAACTTTTTTAATTCGAGTGCCAGCAACCCTGCACCCGTACTGCCTTCTACCCTACGGAAGCTCGCTCACATGCATGCATACATACATACTAGGGATGTTAATTTTTCGGCTTTGTCTGATACCGAGATTTCCGGGATGGCGTTATCACAATCCCGGGATGCCGGGATTAGTCCTGGGATTTAGATATTCATTACTTTTCAACAACTTTAATCGAAAAAATTCCTTCTACACTGTTTGAGACGCTCTCCTACCATGAAATAAATAATAATAAATGGGCTTGAAACCTACTTTTTTATTTGAAGTGCCGTTTTTATTTTTCCTCTCTGACCGCAGGGTTTATTTTGAAGGACTTTGTAATTTCAAAGATATGATTAATTCCAAAAATTAAAAAATAAAATTCAATGCAATGTAGAATAAAAATATGGGTAACAAATGCAATAGGAAATTGCTTTAGAATTTAAAAAATTTAAATTTTTTGGATTCACAAGGACGAATTGGTAATTTTTAAGCTGACAAAGTTAGAAGAACGAAACTCGAGGATGTTATCGAGTTTATATAAGCCCTTAACATATAATTTTTTCAAAAACAAATATTGCGAAATTTCAATGATAAAATTTAAAAAGGATATTTTCAATATTTATCAGCCCATCTGCACCAGAAACTTGAATCTGTTTAAATTCTACAGGATTTCCTCATTAATTGTATACTCATACTTTTTCTCTAAGCACATTTCTCTGAACTTTTTAAATCATTTTTAAATTACTGACGTCAGAGTGAAAAATTAAAAACGCAATTTTACTATATTTGGGCCCCATACTTGCCAAGAGTCCCGGGATTATCGAAACCTTAAAAAGTCCGGGATCCCGGGATCCCGAGATTAACATTCTTAATACATACATATGTATGTAGATTAATGAGGAAAATAATAGGAACGCGACATTTTGACTAGTTTTGGCTATTTTTCTTTTGTTTGTTTATTTTTTTATTATTTTTTTTTTTTATAAAAATACGGCTTGTTATCCAACAACAACCACATATGTAAGTCCAAATTTCAAACTTTGTAGCAAAATTGGAAAAATTCAACATAATTGTACAACAATTTTTTTTTCTAAAACAAATTTTCGAACATACTTTGTATGGAAGAAAATGCGTGACACCGTCAGCAAATAAAAACCACCAAAAATCAATATGAATTCTTAACCACTTTAAACTTATACTTTGTTGAGCTAGCATTTAATGGGCTATAAAACTGCATACTTAGATTTTTTCTAAAAATTCTTAATAAAAAGTTTGTTGTTGTTGTAAAATACATATTGTTAAATTTTTCTAATTGTTCTACAAGGTTTTGAATTAGAAGGTTTTTGTTAGAAAATGTTATAGCTAAAACTGGTAAAAATGTCGTGTGCCTACTATTTTTCTCATGACTGTATGTATATGCAACCATATTTATATATGTATGTATATAAATATGTATGCTTATGCACTATTGACTCGCTTTTTAGCGAAAACAATGAGGTCATAATCGGCGTAAATTTAATTTGTGTGCCCCTGCAATGTCGTCGAGGTGGACGCGATGAGGGCGAGCGCAATATGTCTAAAAGGCAAAACAATTCGAGCATTCAAGTAAATGGGTTGATTGACAATTACTTCATTTTCTGCCAAGTATGCAAATTAAACAAACAAAAGAGACTTGCGAAAAAGTGTAAAAAGCTGCTGAAGTATTGACAAAAGATTCTAATTCATGTTGCTCGACGTTCTCGGATCAGTTCTGTTGCACTCCAATATACATATGTATGTACATGTATGTGAATACATACCCAGTTGGAAAAAGCCTGGCATTATAAGCGATTTGTATTAACTATGTATAAGTATGTTTACGTATGTATAAATATACTTGCTACTCAACCCGCTTAAAGAGTCAAATCATTGTAGTGTTTGTTTTTCTCCACAAGTCTGGAAGTTCTGATAAAAACAGGTAATTTATTTAATCATTTTATGCAAAAATAATCGATAAAACTGTGTTGGACACCACTAAGCTAACGATTTAATCTAGACTATTTTATGATTAATAATTAAAGGGGATATATTTTGTATGTTCCACCCGGAGTCGGAGTTTTCAAGAATTAAGCTGGAAGTTAAAAATTGCAATATTTTGTATGTAGCTTTTGTAAATTCTACCAAATGTGAAAGCGCACTTTTACGTTGCAACTGTAAACTTGTTGCTAACTGATTAAGCTAAGTAACATTTTTGACCAGTTTTGGCTATTTTTCTTTTGTTTTTTTTTTTAAATTTAGGCTAAATTGTACATCTCGACAACATTGGCATTGTCTAGTATCGTGTTGAAATAAGTAAACGACGAAAATCAACGAAAACTATGCAGTGCTGCCAAGTTTTCCCGTTTTAATACACTAGTCGAGTCGAAATTTTTTTTTTTTTTGTTCAATGACATGAAATTTTCGATACGATTCGACTCTCAAAAAACGACTTGCATTCGACACGACTCTCGCAATGACTTTTTTTTATTAAAGTCAAGCACATTACATAACGCACACCATACAAATCCACATTTCAAACTTCATACAAAAATTATAAAAATGTAAAAAAAAAAATTAACAATTACATGCACCTAAAAATTTTAAACTTTGTAAGCAAAATTTTTAGAAAAATTTCAGGTATGCCGTCTCATAGCCTATTAGATTTTAGTAGGTTAAAGTGCAAATTTCAAGACGCTAGAAAATCGCGTTGATTTTTTATTATTTTTTCTTTTTGCTGGCGGTGTTGTGCTTTTTCTTCCATGTAAAAGAAATTTTCGAGCATAGTTTACATGGAAGAAAATGCACAACACCGTCAGCCAAAGAAATTATTAAAAATCAACGCGAATTTCTAGCGTCTAGAAATTTGAACTTTATCCTAGTAAAATTTAATGGGCTATATGATGCTGGCTAAGTAATCTGCTAGACTTCTATAAAAAAATATGAACTTTAAATAAAGAAAATAAAAATAGCCAAAACTGGTCAAAATGTCACTTAACTTAATCAGCTGGCCACAAGAGTATGTAGTAATGTAATTTCCTTGATTGGCAAAACCTGGCAAAGTCGTAATATCTAGATATGTGATCAAAACAACCGCCACTCTGACCTGGCTTATGAAACACATAAAAAGGTTTCCCCAACCATATGAAGTCACCACGCGGGTACTTATCATACTCCACATTCTACCAGAATAAAGGTAAAAATTAGAATTTTTTTTGTGTTAGGGTGACCGCACATATTTATGTAGTACCGGGCCCGGGTTTTCACTTGGCGGCCCTGTGCACAAACATCTACGCCATTCGGTATATCACCGCCGATAAGACATGCGAGTAAATGACAAATACAGACTTATGCATCATATATGACAATGTATAGCCATGTACCGATTATGTACATATTTATGTGGACAGACAGCCAGATGGTATACTGGTAAGATTTGCCACCCCGTTTTCATTGATATCTTTTGCTTGCGCTTTACTCATATTACAATAATTTGCATTACGCTCATAATTTTCGCAATAAGAATGGCAAGAAAATTAACAAACATCTTAAGTAAGAACCAAATATACAGTATAAATATGAATATACATTAGGGCGGTCCAACATATTTTTTTTCAGCCACCTCTCAGAATTAGAGAATATCGAGAATAAAGAGACCCTTTTTTTCATTTTTAAACCGGTTACTATTATATATACATATGTATTTCACATGGAAAATAAATTTTTTCGTAGAATTGCTATAGAATCGTGGAAAATTATTACTTTTTTATCGTATACAAATTTTTCCTTTCAGAAATCTTCAATGAAAAATTATGATGCATATTTCATTTTGGAGTTTTACTCACTAGTTTTTCAAAACCGATAATCGCATCTCTTATTTACAAAAATGTGTTATTTAATGCGTTCGTTATCACATCACGCATATTATGAAAAAAGTGTACATAAAATGTACAATTCCCGGCGGTGCGGTTAAAAATTAACCGATTTCAAAATAAAACAAGGTCTAATTATTTTCGATATTCTTCAATTCTGGGCGATGGCAGCAGGAAGATTCCAAAAAGTGTTTTTTTTTTGACCACCCTAATATGCATGCATACATACGAGTGCATGCAAGATTTGCATTGCAGCTCACCTTAAAACTGCATATGTACATATTAGGCATGTCTGTATGTAAACATACTTATATACATACATATGTATGTATCGATGGAACAAATCTACCGTGATTGTTGTTTGTATTGAGCTAAAAAATCACTGTGCATAAAAGTTTCAAATTAACATCAGCAGAAAAAAATTGCATGCGCCACACTACGTATTGTATTTGCAAACACATGCACGCATACATATGTATGTACATATGTATATGTACATAAATCACATGCAATGCAAAAGCATGTGGCAAAAAAAAAGAATAAATTTACAAACCAGTTCAAATTATATCTGATCGAAAGGGCCATAACCCTGCAGTGAATTAAACTCATTTCGAGCTATTGCAATTTAATTCCATTCAAGTTTTTAACTGGTTCGCTTTCTCACCGTGTTTTTTTTTATATTTATTACTAAATCCTTCGCGTAGGGGAATATTCCTCTCTGCGCGGAAAACGATTTTCATGGAAAGTGGAAGCTTTTGGTGCGTTCAAAAACCGTGTGTTTGAGGTACCGACTTTACTACGGGTATAATGATGCACCAATTGCTTCTGGAGAATTGTTTTAAAAACAATCAAGATATTTTTATACACAAATTTCGTTTTTTTCTCTGCTCTCCTAAAAACTTATTTAGTGCACCTATTATAAAATATTTTAATTATATACATATGTATGTATTGAAAAAAATTATTAAGCAAAAATTTTTAAAATATCACATTACATTAAACTAGAAATTTTTGTAAATATGTCTGTATATATGAGCAAATCTCACGCATTGTTAAATTTTTCGACAAAAACGCGTTTTTCTTCTTAGAAAATGCATTATATGTATTCAGTTTTGTATAAAGAACAAGATTCCGTCGCGAAATTGTATTTAAATGAAATCATAAGAAATAAACTAAAATTACAATCATCGGACCAAAGTTATAATACCATTTCATACTCTTTATACTCATGAAAGGTATGTATGAAGTAAAAATTACCACTCATGCTCATATACCCGTAGTTGCGTATGTAACGTATACGCCACGTAGCGTCAAACGCAGTCATCTGACACGTTTACTCGCACGCCTTAACTTAAAAGCCATATTATGTAGATATTTAAAAGTAATTAAATATTGGCATTTAAGATTTTTACACAGTATTCCTTATGCACATATATGTATATTATTTTCTTTATACATATATACATATAACAATTTTAGGTTGAATTTCGAGTGCATCAATAAAAATTTTAAAGTTGGAATTTGTTTCTCAATCATAGTCATCTTTTACCCAATGTATTTTTTTTTCTTTTGGAGAGCCACTAGTCTTTTTATACTAGATTCGTTCTTTTTGGCAAGAAGAATATTTTCATCGTTTAATTTTAAGATTTTTGAGTAACTTAAATTACTAAAATTAAAAAATCGTAAATTTTCAAAAATTACAAAATAGCTGCACAAATATTCTGCATGCTGCCATTTTTTTTAATTTCGGGTAAACCCTTGAAACTTTGCAGGTATGTTGTATTTTACGCCAACTTCCATTGCCTCTAATATGAAAATTTTATTTAAAAACTTCCCAAAGCTATTAAAAAAAACATTTATGATTTTTTCGAGTGACAATGAAAAAATTTGTAATTTCGGTACTTTTTCGACTAAATAAACGTTTTAGGGCTAAAATTGTCCAAGTTCTTGATTTATTTTTTATTTTACTTATTTCTGGAACTGATTATTATAATAAGTGGTATCCAACTAGGATATTAGTGTTGTAAGGTTGCCACTTATTTTCCATTCTACAAAATTTAACTAAAACATCGCAATATGGATACCAAATAATAGGTACTAGGTTCTTTCCCTAACAATCCGGACCGGATCCGATAATTAGAGAATAAGCGAAAAGTTTGCTCTCAAAAACCACATTTCGTGCCCCGAATTTGATAAACAGCTGATTCGCGTTGTTTTTGTTGTTGTCACTTAAATGCAAACTCTTGGAAATTGAATTTTTGTTCCACAAATTTGATTTTAAGAATATAAAGATGGAAAATACATTTACTATTCCTTAAAAGCACCAAGTAAATGCCGGCAACATGTAAACACAAAACAGCTGATATGCACTTTGACCCTTTATCCATTTTTACCCGGAGAAAAAGTCCGGGCTGTTTCGGGCAGGAAGAAGAAGAAGACACTTACGATCCAATACGTTCCAATTTTCGCTCTCTAGTACCCATTTTGTTGAGTACGGGAATGATTTCTGGGCTATTTTGGGCACCCGCGGGATCCCGCATTGCGTACGGGAAAGAACCTATTTTTGAAAACTTAACTAAGAAAATATTTTCGATGAGGGTTGCCACATTTTTTTTGTATTTCGTTAATTTCAATAGGATTTTTTGTTATGTATAAACACAACATATACGCTTAAGATATGTACTATTCATCATAGCGTATTTCTATATAGGGTTGCCACCTGATTTTTAAAATAAGAAATTTACTTACTTTGTGAGATAACAAAAGCTTAATTTTTGTAAATTTATTCAAAAATATTCAGCCTTATCATGGGTTTCATTTTGCCCGAACCGGTTTACTTTTCACTTTTGGTTTCCATGGTTTTACTATGGGCGGATGACAAATTTTCGGGTCAATTTCGGGCGAAAATCAGGATAAGGCAGATTATTTTTAAAGCTATCCAAATGTCCAGTATTTGATACCCAAACCTTGACAACTTTAAATAGTATATATACTCCGAGCAAAGCTCGGTTAACCTGGTACTGTTTCTAAAGCCACTAGAATTCAAATCAGAACTGCCATTCATAGTTAAAATAAAGTCGACCCTAAAGTTAGTTCCATTGAAAATTATGTCAAAAAGCAGCAACTGACCGATTTTATTTTGGCTATGAATAGGCCCCAATGTTTTGTACCGCATCGTTCTTGATAACCTGATCGCAGCTGTATGTAAGTGTATGTACATATGTATGTAAATATGTATGTATTGCTGAACATTCGCTTGGAAGTTAAACACCTTTTCTGCACGGCTACGACAAACCTTAACAGTTCTGCTTAAAACCGCATACAATGTGAATTTTCAGTGGACCCAAACATTATTTATGGGTCAAACAAGACTTTCAGGCAGCGGGCCACCACCACCAAGTATTCGCACTCAAAGGTTCATTCACATTTTACGGGCGGGTTTTTCTGCGGAATAATGTCGTCGAAATGTGCGGCAAAAACGCCGCAACGCGCACAGCTATGCATATGTATACATATGTACATACATATTTAGTTATACTCATACTCATTTAATACATACTTGTGTTTATGTATGTAAATACAATTGTATGTATGTACAACTAAATATATACAGCCGTATGAACATTGTGTTTCCATTGGGCCATAAATTCTGAATCGGATGATGCTTTGCCACTTATTTTTGCTCTTCCATTTCATTTGATCTTTTCCTTTGTATGAAGGCAACTTGGATATACATATGTACTCGTTTTTTCACTTCATCTGCTTTCATTGTTGCATTTCCATTCGTTTGAAACCTTGCAGTAAAATGGCAAAATAATCAGTCAAATATTTACAACCACCCGTAATGTAAACGAAAAGTACTCATAAATTGAAATAATTACAGTACAATTTCTAAAGTTTTCACTCTGCAAGCAATGAAGCATTTATTGGACTTTCATTAGCTGTAATAACCCTGCAGAAAAAAATTATCAATTGATAAAAAATAACCAACTTGAAATTTAGTGGGATTTCTATAAAATATATAACTTGTAGTTGGCTAAAAAAAAGTTAACTTGAAACTAGTCGTCAAGTAATGTAGGAGTAATGCAGAAGGAAACCGGAGACTGATTTCTTTAAACAACTTTCTGTTTAAATATCCTCATACAAATTTTAATACGAATACACTCTCTTTCTGCACTTCGCAAATACTTTTTCGAATTGAGGACAAATCAAAGGAAGATCGACATTTTATATTATAATTTTAAAGTAATGTCTGTCGGGACTCGAATATGATACCACCTACAGCAGAATATGTAAACAAATTTGAAATGTAATAAAATAAAGTAAATAAATGAAAAAGTGAAGAAAAAATATTTTGTTTTTCTTGTTGATATTTTATTTCCAAAAGTAGTTACTTACAAGTTAGTAGACATCAAATGCAGAGGTAACCACCCTTTACTATTTCGCCGCCATCGCCACAGAAATATGGTTGGCTTTCCTCAACGAAAATATACAGATAATAGTGACCGTTAATTCTTTCCTAGTCTACTTGCAAGTTAACTTACAGTTAGATACATTTCCCGCAAAGCATACAAACACATATGTACATATACAAAAGGTAATAGCTGCTGTGAGGATAAATACGAAAATAAAGGGAATGGATATTCAGTTTAAACAAATATGAAAGTGCATACCCCTTTACTCAAAGGTTTTATCGTTAAACCTTTACTGTTATTTTTAGTTTTAATTTACACATTCCTTTAGTTTCAAGTCAAAACCCGAGCGCACTTGGGTATTATAACTTTGTTCGCATAACGGTTGTTTGTAACAGGCTAAAGGAATTGAGATAGATATAGACAAATGTATACATATATGATCAGAATGAAAAGAGAAATCGATTAAGCCATGTCTGTCCGTCCGTCCGTCCGTCCGTCTGTCTGTTTTGGATCCAAATTGTTGAAAATTAGTATGTGAAGTAAAATTTGTTGGTACAAAATAATATTATTATGTAACTTTTGGAAAAAGCGCGTGACCCCGCCCACTTATTTATGATGAAATGCTGTATCGTAGTAGCTGCTTCACAAATCCTTACCAAACGAGCCTTGCCTAAGATCCAGCTCAGAAATTTGTTGAAAATCTTCAAAATCGGGCAATAGCCACGTCTTTAACGATAATTTACCGAAACACAAAAACTGCGATACATCAGTAACTAGGTACTGAAGCTGATTGACTCAAAATCGATTATGTATTGCAATAACCACTGAGCAGAAAATTAGTTTATTATAAATATTGGATTTTGTGTGTGGCGCCGCCCATTTATGACCACAAATGTGTATCTCGGTAACCGATTTATCAATTTCTACCAAACCCGGTGCATTTAATAACCCTGGTACGAAAAACAAACCGTTAAAAATTATTAAAATCCCACTAAAATTACACCCGCTCCCCGTATAACGGTAAATTTCCGGTATACGAAAATTCCGATATTTCAATAACTGAGGGCGCTTATTTACTTCAAGTTAATGCTTACAACAACCTCTTAACAATAAATAAGACCGCTATAGACTTTGAAGGTAGTTCAGAGAAAGTTGTAACGACAACATTTGATACCCGCGCCGGGTATATAGAATTCGGTTTCGCCCGAACTCAAACCTCTTTACTTGTAATACATAACTTCAAAAATTTCTTTGACGGAAGTGAATGTTTTACATCGCTTGTGTCCTACTTTGTCAGATTTAACTTTGACCTCATATATCTTATAGAACTCGGAAGTTTAAATAATAATACTTAAAAAATATTTTTCAATCGCATAGCTGTAAATAGGTATAAAATTACATAGCTCTGTGAAGTTTCGTTCACAGAGCGAAGCATGTTTCCACTTAAAGACCAGTTCAAAAGTTGAAACTAATACAAATCGCAGTGTATGATTTGCCACGTACTACTAATACAACCGGAAACAATCCTAGCCTTAAACCAATCTGATTCACGACGCGCTGTAGGGGAAAGTCGAAGTCATTAAAGTTTGAAAGCGTCGAGCCAACCAAAAGCTGTAAAGGTCAAGCCGGTGCTCAAGAAATATTAACCACAAAAATAAGTACACTTGTGTAGATGCATACATACATGGATTTTAAATACCTAGATACATACGCATGTACATATGTATGTATGTATGTATGTATGTGTTTACATCCACTGGAGTTGAAGCTAAGCGTGATGATGACTTTGAACTTTTTTCCAGCATTTGACTACAGAATGAACTTACTACTAACTAATGGTCATTCACAATATACATATGTATGTACATACATAGTATGTATGTATAGATGTATGTATGCATGTGCCCAAATTTGCGTCGTAATATGTAGTTTTTTTTTTTTTTTTTTTTAATTAAAAAACGTGTAGGGAAGAAATTTGTTATGTTTGCGTATACAATTGGAGATATGCATGTATGTACGTTGAGTGTATGCACATAAGAGCGGGTCAATACCCGTAGGAAAAAAAATGTAATAGCCAAACTTAATTTCGAACCTTAATCCAGGAGGGTTTGCCTTCATAAGAACTTTTATTCGTGCCAGAATAGATTTTTCTTCATTAATTTTTTATTGATGACTAAATTTTTTGGTTAATAAATGATATGTATGTATATACTAAACTTTATATTTTATGGTAACTAGGTTTTAATTCAGTCGGGTAAAAATAAAAGTGCATTTACATAGTATGTAGAGATAATCCTCATTTTCGAGCTTAACTCCTAATCTGTGATAAAAAAAATACATGACTTACAAAATTCCTATAATTATAAAATAATCTCAGATAAAACCGATAACTTTACAATGTTCAAGCTAGTTGTATCGATTATTTTTGCGAAGAATAGGAGAAATGTCAATAGTGAATGTAGAGAAAATAGACGCTAGCAAGGTAAAGAGGTTAGTGAAGATATTTTTAATAAACCATTAAGTTAAAACTAGGGGGTTCACAAGGTGTTGTACACCGTCGTATAGTTGCATGTCGTAAACTTTAATTCATATTATGAAATTTCAAAGTGTTAAAAAATAGTTGAGTGTGGTTTCAAGTCTTCTAAGCATTTATTGTTTTCTTTTAAAGTTTACGACATACAACAATACGGCAGTATACAATACCTTGTGAACTCCCTAAATACAATCTACACAAATTGCCTAATTTAGCCGAAATAGGTGTTCAAAGTGGCAAAGAGAGGATATTGAACTTTTCCTTGAGTTGTAGGAAAAACAAGCACAACAAATTTGACAGCTAATAATCAGAGATTCGACTGTATAAACGATATTTGGTCGAGGCTCAGACGGTCTTTAAATAGTGATGCAAAATCCCTTCCAAGTAAGCTTTCAAACTGGGTGGGCTAGTAACAAACTTTTATTCTCGAACTAGTCTAATGTACGTAGATGCATACATACATATGTACATACATAATACTCATTTATTTTAATCGTGTCATAATCCAAAATAATATAAAATGGAGTTAAGTACGCAGAAATTACCCCTACCTGTTTTGAGATATGTATGTTGTGTAAAAATTCGATAGCTGTACCGATTACCAGTAGCTCACTAGAACAAAATATATGTACATAGATTCTCGTTTGCATTGGGAATATATGTACATATGTAAATTCCAAATTTTAAAGCTGTTTTTCTCGAGTTTTTTGCTTTTAGAGTTATGACAGTATTGAAGTAAATGAACGATATGTACATACATACTTAAACTGGAATTTTAAGTGATTTTAGTAATTACGCAGTTTTCATTGGCAACATCGAATTGACTAGGGTTTTGCCTTTTTTGCGTGCTACCAAAAGTATCTTTTAATTGTTCTGTTGTTTCTCACCTCTTGCTATTAGTAAATGGTTTTCAGTTTATGTTTTTTACCCCTTTACTTTGTTTATTGAAGAGACCATAAGGCCACGTGGAAGAATATGTACATACATACATACATACGTACATGATTGTATCGAGAAAATTAGCAACACTTTGAACAAAAGAATTTCCAAAAATTAAAGATATGTATGTATGTATGTTATAGCATCTTCAAGCTTACACTTTATTGTACAATGGGTACAAAAATGCATACCCACTAAATTTTTTTTCCTTTTAAGTGTAATTAAAAAGTCCAAAATTTTAATGAGAATTTGCAGAATTTTCTTTTATTTTGTGTGACCACACTTTTCTAAAGAACTTGCGAAAAATAAAATATTTAAAGAAGCAGTTGCCCGTTTCGCAACAAACTCTACGTACTTAATTTTTATTGATTGGATGTAGGTACACTCGTACATTTGTATGAAATGAAATTAGAACCTGAATTAGCATGGCGAATGCCTAACGCTGACGAGATGACATGATAACATTAGTAGCTTCATGACTCTTTGGAATCTACCTTATGGGCAGTAGCGCCGCACAATGGGCTTTTTGAACACACCATGCGAATTACGTGTGTCAAGTTAGCACTACACTTTTCGAAATTGGAAAAGTTAACTACGGCATTAATTGTAGTGTTTTTGTTGTAAATTTGTTGTGGAAAGAAAAAATTTGTAGCTCTCGTTTTTTAAGAAAAAATGGTATGTAGTGCTAACTTGACACCATACACCTAGTCGATAGAATTGAGATATCCAATATGTTACTATGCCATTAATTGTAGCTTTTAACTTTAAAATTTGTTGTGGAAAGAAAAAATTTGTAGCTCTCGTTTTTTAAGAAAAAATGGTATGTAGTGCTAACTTGACACCATGCACCATGCGAATTAATCGTAGCGCTTTCGACAGAAGCAATATTTTGATATGAAGCAAAATAAGTTTGAAGGCAAATTGTACCTATTCCCTTTCAATTGCTCTAAAATAGTGTTCTTTGAAAAAAACCAAAAACAAAATCCACCGGATTTGTTCCAAACAAATTTTTTGTATGTTTTATTGCACTAGCGTTATAGATTTTTAGACGATAA